ATATATATATATATACATATGGCCAAGCCATTGTTATACTCTACTTCTTGCCATGCTCCGGGGATCTGTGCAGCTCTAGATGTGCATTCCGTGCACCGTCCTTGTTCCTTGATTGTAACTGCATGTCTGGTGGTTCGTGTCAACACCTTAGAAAGTAGCAAGTCACACACACACACAACATCCTGACAAACAGGTTACGAATAAATTTGCCGGATGCAGCAACTCCATGACAGATGAATCATTTAAACTGAGTAAACAGAGCAAATATATGGGGCCTTAATAATTAGAACAGGGGTTTGGGGCACATTACACCATAATAACTACAATGATAATATAAGGAACCCCCCCCCACAAAAAATGGTATAGGCAACTCTTTAGGGGCCTACATTAAACAGAGCTATGTTTCAGTCGTCAGTACCCATCCTGGACGCTCTAAACAGCAATGGCAGCCTTCTTGAGTGCAGTTTTGGCGCCTAGACACATACGTACCTGAAACCAGCACCTGCGAAAAGAGCGTCTCGAACTCTTTTCTGCGAAATTTGCTACGTGCTCTGTGATCTTCCAGAGCAGTGCGCCCCAGATTTGCCTGCTTCTGGTTCAGCGCCAGCCACCCAAAAGCACCTTCCTCCTCGCCGGACAGGACACGCACCTGGCAGTTGCCGGGTCATGGACGAAGATATTATGGGATTTAGGTTTAGGGCCCGGCGCCATGGCACAAACCAGATACTGAGCAGCGGCACATTGCAACTGCCACAGAAGCTCCATACTTCCTGCCTGCTCATCGCGAGTCACGGCAAACATGTCCTGCATCCGGAGCCAGGTGTGACGGATCGCATGCAGTTGTGGGCGACGCGAGTTTAGGGTCAAGTGCGAGGGTTGTCATTGGACAGGGTCCTACTATGTCATGCAGATATAAAGCATCTGTAGAGGACCTAATGCTAAGGCCCTGGGGCGTCGAAGCGATCGGTTCTCCCTGATAGGCTCTCGAATCGAAAGTCGTCCTGCTTCCTCAGGTACTCCCGAGCAGCCTTCATCACCTGGAGTTGCGGCCGAGAAGTCTCGCTGTAGAGGACTCGGGGTGAGACAGATTTCAGGAAGTTGCTTATGAAACACTTTGTTTGATGTTTACCACGACTGCTACGACGACAATTACTACGAGGACGATTTCGAGGACGACCCGCTTTGGAGACTTTTGGTCCCAGGTTCCTCACCGGAGAGGGGCTGGCTGCTATGCCCAAACCAACACCTGCTAAAGACACTGGTTCTAATGGTTCTACACGGCGGCCACCCAGCTTCGAACACTGCTTTGCAGGCCCCCGTCGCCCCAACGTCAGTCGATTTTAACAATAAGACCATCGTCCCCAATCCGGAAGAAGCCCACCGTGCTGTGTCCTCCTCAACTCAACGGTAAACATAGGGGCCTGAACGGTAAGATTGGGGCACCCGTGACCGACGGAATAGTATTGGTAATTATTGGTGGCTATTCCATCTCACTCCATGACCTTGGCTTGTTCAGTCTTAAGACCTACGGCCTACGGATTAAACCCAGAGCTCGAATCCACGGACAGCTGCTGGTCAGCACCCTCAACTCGAGGCAGGACTCTAAAAAGCTGCTAAGCCGCCTCTATACTTAAACCCTACATTACCAAAGCTGATGATTCTAATAAACCCTAAACCCTAAACCCTAAACCCTAAACCCTAAACCCCTAAACCCTAAACCCTAAACCCTTGAAACCCCCCCCGTCCCCCCAAACAAGACCTCGAGGCCTCGTCCCGTTGATCGTTCTTCAGCTCTCTCAGACCCGCCGTAGCACCGAGGTAAAGGGGAACCTTCTGGGTTTTCGTTATTTCGGTGTTGAGTATTTATATTATATTAAATTATAGTATATTATATTATATTATATTATATTATATTATATTATATTATATTATATGATGTTATATTATATTATAATATTATATTATAATAAAATATAAATGTTCCGTGTTTCTGGGTTTCGGGCTTTAGGCGGGCTTCGTCTGCGCAGCTGGGCTTTTGGTGGATGTCTCCCGACCCAAATTCATGGTCAAGGGGGTAAGGTTTAGTTTACCCACAAACCTTCAATGTCGGGTTCCTCCAAGACAGCCCGCCGGAGCACAGAGGACGGAGTGAGCGAACTTAGGTAGCAAGAAGCACTGGGATGTACGGCTTCGGTTCGTAAGATCAAAGCCAAGGAACTCTACAAGTTTCCAATTCGACTCGACTCTTCTGGAACCCCCCCAAACCGAAATGAAATGCGTGAAACCTCCCAAAACCATCCCTCTAGTCCACAGAAGACCGAGCCTGCTTGACCTCGATGTGTGGGTTGTGCAGAGTCAGGGCCTAGGGAGCATTCCGAGGCACGGGAGGGAGGCAATCTCAATGGCCGCAGTTTTCCAGGATTTCGATCCAGAGTGCGTCGCAACCTACACATGGGGGTTTCCGAAACCCTAATATACCCTGAATAGTAGGATCCTTATTATAAGGAACCCCAAATAAGGTACCCCGATTTTCGGAAACTCCCACATACGTAACAATGCAATACAAGTACCATGAACACTGCAGCAGCCTGGACAGCCGTACAACAATGCCTCCTCTTACCACAACCAACATTGTCGCTGCTCATCATAGTGTAAGGCATCCTTACAGAGACAAACATGCAAATGCCGCTGAGCATCATCGGCAGCAAACTGTGTCAGTTCACTCAGTTGCCTGCAGCAGAGCCAGACATCAGAGAAGGGGTGAAGCTTCGTCTGCATAAACAATGTATTTGCACTTCTGAATACACACATACATACATACATGCAAACATATATATATATATACACATATGTATATATACATGCATATCTGCATATACACATATACATACACACCTAGAGATGCACACCTATATATATATATATATATATGTATAGATACACACACGTAGAAGCATTCAGTCATTCCTATATTCCTTCCTTCCTTTATGCATTGGTATGTGCGTACGTACATACATACATACATACAAACAAACATACATACACATACACACATACATACATACATACATACATACATACATACTTACTTACTTACTTACTCACTTACTTACATGCATACGTACATACATAAATACATGCATGCATGCATGCATGCATGCATGCATACATACTTACATGCATACATACATTTTGGCACTCGCACTCGACCGGGTCAGGCGAGAACTCCAGAACTCTAGAAGGCTACCACTCATTCACACACATACACACGTACGTACATACATACATACATACATACATACATACATACATACATACACACATACATACAGAGATACAGATACATATGAACAAATACACATGCACATATGTATACTCATCGTATATCCTCACATATTGTCACTGTCCTCTAATTCTTTCAGTTCAGCCTGCTGCGCTTTGTAGCCTGGACCCGAAAACATCTCGACTGCACACGCTCCCTAGCTATTTCTGCCACGTAATCTTGCGGCTTACTACCTTCCTGCTCGGTGATGCCGTCGGCGAGAGTTCGAGCAGGCTGGGCACTGAATGCAGAACTGGAGATTAGGTGTACTCCGAAGCCCTGGGCCAATTAAGTCATCAAGGCCTGAGGGAATCCAACGGGTTGCAGTTGTTGTAGTTACGTCCATGGCTAATTGTACTTTAAGATTCATCTGTTCTTTCGGCGCTCACACTTGGATAATCCAGACGAAGCATGCTGGCAATAATCTACTGAGGTGAAAAGCATTTAACTCAGGGTGTTGGGCCTGGAGCGCTCAGGGTTGGTATTTTCAGCTTCGGCTACAGGTTTCACAGACGAAGTGTAGGCGCTGCTGCAGCTTGAAAGTTCCAATGTTTGGGGGATTGATTCCCGAAACATATAGATACAGAGCATACACAACTCATGAAGCAAGGTTTCTGGAGTGTACCACCCTAAACCCTAAACCCTAAACCCTAAACCCTAAACCCTAAAAGCCCTAAACCCTAAACCCTAAACCCCACCCAGACGGACACTTCATCAACCCATGATCTTCCCACACCCGTAGTACTGCCTTTAACGCTTTTAGGGTTTAGGGTTTAGGGTTTAGGGTTTAGGGTTTAGGTAACCTTAGCCAGCCTTACAAACGAAGCCTTACTAGCTCAAGTCCAAGAGCCACAGTCCAAGAGCAGCCACTTCAAGCCGAATTCTGGGATGCGTTTCGATGAAAGCCCGTCTCTGTGGGATGACACCCCTAAACCCTAAACCCTAAACCAATATTGGCAAAGTTTCTCAGAAACCGTCGAGGATACCTCAATTTGTGCTGATATTGGGGCCTTCATAGTTTCAACGGGCTTTTGGGGTATGTTATGCCATGGTTGTAAAAAAAGGACCTTTAACCGAGTACTGGTATTGTACAAGTAATTATTGGGACCTTGATAAGTGGAGGAGGGTTTTTGGGTATACGGACGCGGCAAAGATCGATCTGAAAGCTGACCCAACCCCGTCTTCCTCAATCCTAAACCCTAAACAGCCGATTGTAGGCAGGCCCTAAACTTTCCTGCCGGGTGGCTTTCGAGATGCGCTGTGGCGAGGAGGAGAGCCCCGGCCTGTGGAGGAAAGGATTCTCAGAGCTTGTGGATGAGGCACTCATGGCCATAGCAGCCAACAAGAACAACAGAAGGGACTGACACATTGATAAGATAAAGACAAAAGTCGGTGCCGACAGCAACAGTTGCTTAGACCAGTGGGTGCAGTGACTGTACAATCAAAAGGCACTGCTGCGAGAATCAACGGCGCCTCTTATGGCAGTCTCCGAACTGTAGCTTCCACCAAGCGCAGCCATTTACATCTGGAGGTGTGACTCCGGAAGCTGAACCAGTTGCTCATCCCACAAAGGCGGTCTTGCCACCATGCAAGTATTGTCACTCAGATGAGTTCTGAGTATCAACGAGCAATTCGATTGTTGCCAGCGTGTAAGAAATTGCACTGAGTTAAGTACCCTACACTCCTCCACACATTTCGCTCTTTAGAGCTACAAGGGCGGACCACCGCATGTGCTGTCTGAAAACAAGGGAAGCAGGGAAGCCAGCACATAAGGACCAAGGTTGCCAACCTCATGCAAACAGAAGTCCAGCAAACGCGAGTAAGCTGACTCGGAGTCCAAATAGCCCGGACGACTGGACAACCCGGTTGGTGAAGTTGACTTGGACTTGACCGCTCGGCGTCAATGATCACATGTGCACAGAGTGGTCTTGCTGCGAATGGCCCACCATGGCAGCGGACCCTCACCAGCTCGATAAACCCGTCGAGCTTGACACGACATCAGGCAACCACAATCTCGTTACCAATGCAGCATCCCGGGCTGACGTCGGGCCATTGTCTATCTTGGCAGGCAGTCAGCCTGCATATTTCCGACACGGTGACCTGCCTGAGAGGCATCGGTCCAACCAAGTCTCACTTCTCGATACGTCCGAGCAGGGGCACAATATCTTGCAGGTGTAGTGGCAGGTCTGAGCTTCTTGACTCATGCACTCGGCACTCAGCTTCGCAAATGCCTCCAGTATAGCACATGTTCGCACAGCAGTTCGTCAAGTTGGCCAAATCGATCACGCCTTCCCTGCAGAGCCAGTCCAAGAGCTGAGATTGTTCCA